CAAACAGAATTCAACAGTATATCAAAAGGATCATACACCATGACCAAGTGGGGTTCATCCCAGGGATGCAAGGATGGTACAACATTCGAAAATCCATCAACATCATCCACCACATCAACAAAAAGAAAGACAAAAACCACATGATCATCTCCATAGATGCTGAAAAAGCATTTGACAAAATTCAACATCCATTCATGATAAAAACTCTCAGCAAAATGGGAATAGAGGGCAAGTACCTCAACATAATAAAGGCCATATATGATAAACCCACAGCCAGCATTATACTGAACAGCGAGAAGCTGAAAGCATTTCCTCTGAGATCGGGAACCAGACAGGGATGCCCACTCTCCCCACTGTTATTTAACATAGTACTGGAGGTCCTAGCCACGGCAATCAGACAAAACAAAGAAATACAAGGAATCCAGATTGGTAAAGAAGAAGTTAAACTGTCACTATTTGCAGATGATATGATACTGTACATAAAAAACCCTAAAGACTCCACTCCAAAACTACTAGAACTGATATCGGAATACAGCAAAGTTGCAGGATACAAAATTAACACACAGAAATCTGTAGCTTTCCTATACACTAACAACGAATCAATAGAAAGAGAAATCAGGAAAACAATTCCATTCACCATTGCATCAAAAAGAATAAAATACCTAGGAATAAACCTAACCAAGGAAGTGAAAGACTTATACTCTGAAAACTACAAGTCACTCTTAAGAGAAATTAAAGGGGACACTAATAAATGGAAACTCATCCCATGCTCATGGCTAGGAAGAATTAATATCGTCAAAATGGCCATCCTGCCCAAAGCAATATACAGATTTGATGCAATCCCTCTCAAATTACCAGCAACATTCTTCAATGAATTGGAACAAATAATTCAAAAATTCATATGGAAACACCAAAGACCCCGAATAGCCAAAGCAATCCTGAAAAAGAAGAATAAAGTAGGGGGGATCTCACTCCCCAACTTCAAGCTCTACTACAAAGCCATAGTAATCAAGACAATTTGGTACTGGCACAAGAACAGAGCCACAGACCAGTGGAACAGATTAGAGACCCCAGAAATTAACCCAAACATATATGGTCAATTAATATTTGATAAAGGAGCCATGGACATACAATGGCAAAATGACAGTCTCTTCAACAGATGGTGCTGGCAAAACTGGACAGCTACATGTAGGAGAATGAAACTGGACCATTGTCTAACCCCATATACAAAGGTAAACTCAAAATGGATCAAAGACCTGAATGTAAGTCATGAAACCATTAAACTCTTGGAAAAAAACATAGGCAAAAACCTCTTAGACATAAACATGAGTGATCTCTTCTTGAACATATCTCCCCGGGCAAGGAAAACAACAGCAAAAATGAGCAAGTGGGACTACATTAAGCTGAAAAGCTTCTGTACAGCGAAAGACACCATCAATAGAACAAAAAGGAACCCTACAGTATGGGAGAATATATTTGAAAATGACAGATCTGATAAAGGCTTGACGTCCAGAATATATAAAGAGCTCACACACCTCAACAAACAAAAAACAAATAACCCAATTAAAAAATGGGCAGTGGAACTGAACAGACAGTTCTCCAAAAAAGAAATACAGATGGCCAAGAGACACATGAAAAGATGCTCCACATCACTAATTATCAGAGAAATGCAAATTAAAACTACAATGAGGTATCACCTCACACCAGTAAGGATAGCTGCCATCCAAAAGACAAACAACAACAAATGTTGGCGAGGCTGTGGAGAAAGGGGAACCCTCCTACACTGCTGGTGGGAATGTAAATTAGTTCAACCATTGTGGAAAGCAGTATGGAGGTGTTTTATTGTGTATTAAAGCAAGTATTGATAGTTTACTTAATTTACACTATTCCTTGCTGAGTGTATTGTTAGCAATGGGGCTAATGTTCTTAAACTGGCTTACTTAAAGGGTTGCAATGATGTGAGAGGAAGATGGACCTGCTGCCATAAAAGACATGGAATTTGGTTCTGATAATGACTGAGCTTCTGTACTTTTCTACTTTGCTGTATGTATAATAATTGTTGGAATGTTAAGATAACTTGTGCTTTTTTAAATACTTAACTGTTTGTACAGGAAATGTTTTCCTAAAGCATGGTTTAGAACTGTGAATTATTCCTAGAGATTGTGTTGGAAGTTGCTAATATCTGCTGTATGGAAACCTTGGATTACCTTTCAAAATAAATATTGCTATTGTTGTAAAAAAAACAAAAACAAAAAAACAAAAACAAAAAAAATATTAGCAAACCGAATTCAAAAATACATCAAAAGGATCATACACCACGATCAAGTGGGATTCATCTCAGGGATTCAAGGATGGTACAACAATCAAAAATCCATCAACATCATCCACCACATCAACAAAAAGAAGGACAAAAATTCACATGATCATCTCCATAGACGCTGAAAAAGCATTCGACAAAATTCAACATCCATTCATGATAAAAACTCTCAGCAAAATGGGTATAAAGGGCAAGTACCTCAACATAATAAAGGCCATATATGAAAAACCTACAGCCAACATCATACTGAACAGCTAGAAGCTGAAAACATTTCCTCTAAGATCGGGAACAAGACAGGGATGCTCACTCTCCCCACTGTTACTCAACATAATATTGGAGGTCCTAGCCACTGCAATTAGACAAAACAAAGAAATACAAGGAATCCAGATTGGTAAAGAAGAAGTCAAACAGTCACTATTTGCAGATGACATGATACTGTACATAAAAAACCCTAAAGACTCCACTCCAAAATTACTAGAACTAATATTGGAATACAGCAAGGTTGCAGGATACAAAATTAATACACAGAAATCTGAGGTGTTCCTATACACTAACAATGAACTAATAGAAAGAGAAACCAGGAAAATAATTCCATTCACAATTGCATCAAAAAGAATAAAGTACCTAGGAATAAACCTAACCAAGGAAGTGAAAGAATATACCCTGAAAACTACAAGACATTCTTAAGAGAAATTAAAGAGGACACTAACACGTGGAAACTCATCCTATGCTCCTGGCTAGGAAGAAATAATATCGTCAAAATGGCCATCCTGCCCAAAGGAATATACAGATTGAATGCAATCCCTATCAAATTACCAACAGCATTCTTTAATGAACTAGAACAAATAGTTCAAAAATTCATATGGAACCACCAAAGACCCCGAATAGCCAAAGCAATCCTGAGAAGGAAAAATAAAGTGGAGGGGATCTCACTCCCCAACTTCAAGCTCTACTATAGAGCCACAGTAATCAAGACAATTCGGTACTGGCACAAGAACAGAGCCACAGATCATTGTAACAGAATAGAGTCTCCAGACATTAACCCAAACATATATGGTCAATTAATATACGATAAAGGAGCTATGGACATACAATGGGGAATGACAGTCTCTTCAACAGCTGGCGTTGGCTAAACTGGACAGCTACATGTAAGAGAATGAAACTGGATCACTGTCTAACCCCACACACAAAAGTAAATTTGAAATGGATCAAAGACCTATATGTAAGTCATGAAACCTTAAAACTCTTAGAAAAAAACATAGGCAAAACTCTCATGGACATAAACATGAGTGACTTCTTCATGAACATATTCCCCCGGCAAGGGAAACAAAAGCAAAAATGAACAAGTGGGACTACATCAAGCTGAAAAGCTTCTGTACCGCAAAGGACACCATCAACAGAACAAAAAGGTATCCTACAGTATGGGAGAATATATTCATAAATGACAGATCCGATAAAGGGTTGACATCCAAATTACATAAAGAGCTCACACACCTCAACAAACAAAAAGCAAATAATCCAATTAAAAAATGGGCAGAGGAGCTGAACAGACAGTTCTCCAAAGAAGAAATTCAGATGGCCAACAGACACATGAAAAGATGCTCCACACCGCTTGTCATCAGAGAAATGCAAATTAAAACCACAATGAGATATCACCTCACACCAGTAAGGATCGCCACCATCCAAAAGACAACAACAACAAATGTTGGTGAGGTTGTGGAGAAAGGGGAACACTCCTACACTGCTGGGGGGAATGTAAATTAGTTCAACCATTGTGGAAAGCAGTATGGAGGTTCCTCAAAAAGCTCAAAATAGAAATACCATTTGACCCAGGAATCCCACTTCTAGGAATTTACTTTAAAAATGCAGCAGCCCAATTTGAAAAAGACATATGCACCCCTATGTTTATTGCAGCACTATTTACAATAGCCAAGAAATGGAAGCAACCTAAGTGTCCATCAGTGTCCATCAGTTATAAAATGAGAAAATGTTTCTTTCATCAGAAATAGAAAAGGACATAGGTTGGGATATTTGGGTCCTTTACTGATGGATGTTGGTTCCTTGTCCTTCTCTCTGTCTGTGCCCTACTTCTTCCTTTTACCCATTCCTTGTGACCCTTGTCCTTGCCTTCCCTTCACCCCAGAGTGAGGTGTGTGGTCAGGCCAACTCTAAGCTCAGTCTCAACAGCAAGGCTTTGTGGGCCTAAGGAGGCCAGGATCAGAGCTTACTACCTGGATATTCCTTATCAGCTGTATGACTTTGGACAAATTACTTTATCTCTCTGTGTCTGTCTTCTCATTTATAATCGAGGAACAATGATATCAGCTCAAAAGGTTGTCAAAAAGATTATTTAATATAATTAACATAGACAAAGTGCTTAGAACTATGCCTGGCCCTATGATAAATGTTGTTGGCATCATTATTACATGTTCCATCACAGTTTCTACCAAAGGCTTTCAGGCACATGGGAAGGACCTGGCTTAAGCCTTGGGCTTTGGCACCTGCAAAGAGCAGAAAGAGATCATTAGTATAGGTCTAGAGGGAAATAAAGGAAGGAGAACAGAAAATAATCATTTCATTTTAATTCTCTCCTCATCCCATATACAGGTACATGGATATTTAAAGACCTATATAAAATATTTATTAGCTTGCTTCTATGTTTCAAAGGCATCAATAGCTTTACCTGGTCTTTCCACTTTTATAACTTCTGCTCCAAGATCTCCTAAATTCATAGTTGCAAAAGGTCCTGCCAGTACTCTACAATGTTAACAATGATAAACACATTAATTACCATCTTGAAGATTTTTATATTCTTTTCTTAACAGTCCAACAACAGACAAGCTCATATAATGCTAGTAAGAATTAAAATTGTCATAACTGTTCAAAAAAATAATTTGGTCATATGTATCAAGAGCTTTAAGAAGTATATTCCTTTAGATGGAGTAATTCTACTTTCAGAATTCTGTCCTAAGGAGGAAATTGAAAGATTTCCTTAAGCAAAAATTTACATACAAGGAAGACTACTATAATAAAAGGGAAATATTGGGGGGATGAGTAATTATGTGACAACAATAAATAAAATATCATCTTGTTTTTCTTGAATTTTGAGTGATATGGGAAAATATTCAAAGTGTAACATTATGTTTAAAATGTGGGTAAACTAATATTAATATAGTTCCAATTTTCATTTCTAAAAATTATGAAGAGATATGCAGATAGGAAAAAATGCATAAATATTATACGAATTGTCTCTCAGAATGATGACATTACAGAAATTCTTTTCTTTTTCCTTTCCAAAATTTTGATAATCCGCATATACACATCCTCTTAAAATTCAAATAATAAATGAGTGCTTTTTTGAGGAAGGAAAAAAAATCACAAAAACAGAAATAAACCAATACAAACCTTGTTAGATCAAGAATTTTTACACCCTCCAATGGCTTCATATTTTCAGTATCTGGCAAAACACATAAAATATTTGAACAGTTTTAGTTACTAATTTTCAGGAGGAAGAAAGCAGAATTCTTCATATTCTGTTTTAAGTAATCTCTATTACTACCAAAAGAAGTATTTTTTTCTTCACAATATTTCTGCTTTAAATGTAACTCAGAAACCTTGATTTGAGACACAGTTAAGTCAATGGGTAAAAATGAAAGCCTCTGGTACCAGATTACACCCAATTAGTAAAGTCCAAAACTACATATAAAATGGTTTATCTAATGAAAAATAAAAAGTGGAAGGAGGGAGGGATGTATAGGCTGAGCATAGAGGATTTTTAGGCACTAAAAATACTCTGTATGATTCCATAATGATAGATATAACTCATTATCATTTGTCCAAACCACAGAACATTCAACACCAAGAGTGAGCCCTAAGGTAAACTACGGACCCTGGGTGATTATGACCTGTCCAGGTAGGTTCATCCATTGTAACAAATATCCCACTCTGAGGGGGAGTTTTATAATAAAGGATGCTGTGCATGTATACGGACAGGGGGACAGGGGGAATCTCTGCACCTTCCTCTCAATTTTGCTGTGAACCTATAACTACTCTAAAAAAACTAAGTCTTTAAAAAAAAAACAAAAATTGAACTAAACAACAAAAAGGTAACAACAAAGACCTCTGCATATTTGTTCTACATTTAAAACAGGGATAAAATAATGAATTTTAAGTTTTTATTAAACAATTTACAATCATATGCATATTTTCTTTTTCTCAAGAAAAAGAGCTATAACGACAAGAGCTTTAAAGTATATATATATAATATGAATATATATATAATATATAGCTCACGATAAGAGCTATTAAAATAAGTAGATAGGTGAATAATCACATCCATAATTCACTTAAAATATTTAACATTAACATTAAATCACAAAGTCAAATTCTAGCCAAATAGCTTACAAAATTTAGATCATAATGCCTGAAATCAAGCTAACTTTTGGGGGAAAATGAACTATAATTCAATACATCTTTTTAAAAATAGACTTTATTTCTTACAGCAGTTTTAGATTCACAGCAAAGTCGAACAGACAGTAGGGAGAATTCCCACATGCCCCTTTCCCCTACACATGCATAGCCTCCCCCACTAACAATTGATGGATCTACATCTGATGCATCACTATCATCCCAAGTCCATAGTTTACACTATTCACCCTTGCTGTTGTATATGTTATGGGTTTGAACAACTGCACAATGGTATGTATGCATCATTATAGTATCACACAGAGTAGTTTCACTGCCCTAAAAATCCTCTGTGCTCCACCTATTCACCCCTTCCTCCCCTCTAACCCCTGCTAACCTATGTTTTTACAGTATCCATAGTTTGCCTGTTTCAAAACATATAGTTGGAATCATATAGTATGTAGCCTTTTCAGATTGGCTTCTCTCACTTAGTAATGTGCATTTAAGTTTCCTCCATGGCTTGAAAGATCATTTCTTTTCAGTACTGAATACATTCCATTCCCTGGACAAACTAGAGTTTATTTATACTAGGACATCTAGGTTGTTTCCAAGGTTTAGCAGTTATGAAGAAAGCTCTATAAGCATCGTGTGGTTTTGTATACATAATAAATTTTCAGCTCATTTGGGTAACTTCCACTCATTTGAGTACAATTGCTAGATAGAAGGGTAGAGTATGTTTCATTTTCCACTCTGTCTTCCAAAGTGGCTATACCATTTTGCATTCCCCCAGCAACAATGAAAGTTGCTTAGTTCAATACATTTCTTAAAAACTTCATTGTAGTTCCATCACCAGTGGATTAAAAATGAGAGTTACAGAAGTCATGCATTTACACATACACCATCATAGGCTTGAGGTGGATCATAAGGGATACAATGATTCTTAGCTAGGAGGTCCCCAGACCACACTGCTCTACTAGGGAATACTGGACTGGGTATTCTGTCTTGAAATAAGCCAATGTACTGTTTTACAGTAAGAAATTGCTGTCACAGCAAGAAGAAATATGTAAAGTCCATGTGGCAACTGCATTATTTTCTTGGAAGCACACTTAACTGGGAAATCAAATTATACTTAAGAAGACAAACTGATGAGCAAAGGATCAGAAAAAGGAGAGCTGATAAAGCAATGTTTAATGTGGCACATTGTTACAGCAATGGCTCCATGAATCTCACTTCCAGATATCCACACCTTTGGGTATTTCCCTTTCATGTTGACTCTGGGCTAAAACATTTGCCTTGTTTTATCCAATGGGGCAACAGCACATTTGATGTCAGCAGAGGTGGGTAAGTGCTTGCATATTAAGGCTTGACTTTCTGGAACACTTGCACATTCATATGAAAAAGCACAAGATGAAAGAACAAAAGGACAGAGGCTCAGCCATCCCAGCCATTGCTACCATCCCAGCTGAGGCCCCAGACATGTGGGTGAAGCCATCTTACAGCACCAGGATCCAGCCACTGAGTAAGTTCAGGTAAGTCCAGCAGAGCACCCACAGAACTCAGAGAAAAAAATAAACCACTAAGTTGAGAAGTGGTTTGTTATGCAGCAGTAGAAAAACAGATACCATGGCTTATGGCAGAGATAGTTTACTGTACTAGCCGTAGTGATATGCCTGAAATGTAAAACATGTAATGTTTCCCTGCTCAGATCCCTCTAATGGCTTTCTACCAAACTCAGAATGAAATCCAACATCTAACCATGGCCCCAGACCTGTTCGTCCTGGCCCATGGCTGCCCCCCCACCCTCATTCCCTGTCACTCTCGCTCTCACTCTTCTCCAGTTACATTAACCTTCTTGCAGTTCTTGAACAAACCAAGAACATTTCTGTTTTAGGGCCTGTGAGAGAAACAGAGATTCCACCTCAAAGGGCTTTCTGCCCACCTACAAGAAGATTGCTTAGCTTACAACTTCTAGTATTAACTTTGTCGAGTTCCACCTCAGCTTTCCTCAACAATACTGGAAACTAAAACATAAAAATGGAACAAAAACTTTTAAATTTTGAGAGGAGAAATTAATTTTATTTTAAATTCCACTCAGTCAAGCCATGAATCATGTATGAGGGTAGAAAAAAGAATATTCTCAATCATGCAAGTTTTCAAAAACTTTACGTCCCATACATCCTTTTTTGGGAAAATTACATCTAGAAGATATGTTCCATTCCACCAAAAAAAAAAAGAACAATAAATAAGAAGATATGGGGTCCAGAAAATGGGGGACTCTAAAGGAAGAAAGGGGCAAAAGGAATCCTCAGGATGATTGTAAAAAAGATACTAATGCAATGGCTGAAAGATTTATACTTATCATACAGTGGGGAATTAAGGACAGATATTGAAAAGCAAATAAAGAAGCCAGACAAATATTAACATAAGGGAAAATAAAAAGATGTGTAAGAGCAGCAATTAAATCATAATATGCATAATAATTGTACAAGCATAACAACACAACTATTGAATACTGACCTAGCAAAATTTATGATTTCGGAAGATGGAAAGTGTATGTGTGTTTGTTGAAACAGTGAAGAAAGAAACCTAGTCTTTATCACTACAGATAATGCTTAAAAACAGAATCAAGAAGTAGCATTATCATCATGTTATATAGAGATTTGGAGGTAAAAACTAAACAAACAGCTAAAAGAATTGAAATTTGTTGTCTCTGGGAAAAGGGAAGGGGCAGAGAGGCACAAGGGAGCACTGTTTTTCATCATTAACCTTGTAGATCTGAAGTATATGTAAACTTTGATTTTAAAAAATTTAAAAAATATATATTAATTCATAAGCAACAGAATAAGTATCATTCTGCTGTGCAGCCCCTGCATGTGTTGATGAACATCACCACTCTGCAGTTTTCCCTGCTTCACTGTTTGCATGCACTGCGGCAGCCTCATCTATTCTCATTATCCACAACGTCTGTATTTGTGATTTGACTAATCACTAACATTTATTTGTCACCCTAAAATCAATACTCACAGTGCCTTTACAGTCATTCCGGGACATGCAGAGGATGCAGAACATGTGAGTCACCGGATGCATGTGTTCCCATCTGAGATTAAACAAGGCTACACTCCTTGTTTCAGGTTCCATACTATCAACAGGTGTCCTTTTCAGGGCATATTTAGTGTCACATTTTCACATTTACCCAATTTTTAAAAATTTTTTTTCTTTAAGTATACTTGATACACAATATTGATTTCAAGTGTACAACATAGAGATTCAACAGTTATCAAAAGATGTTCATAGCAATTTCATTTACAATGAAAAAGATGAAAATTAAACATTAAAAAGATTAAGACTAGAATAGGCTGGATGGAAGTGAATGGTGAGTACAGGGGGAAAACAGTTGGAAAGAACATCAACTGCAATGCAATTTGTTGAGATATAGTGAGCAGCTTGTATATCGGTCTATCTTATTTGGCCTCTAGGATGGAAAGCTATTATGATACAGCTGAGAGACCATGCAAAGAAGTATAATTATAAGGAAGCTGCCATCAATTCTATGCTTGCCAGAGCTGCTTCTAGGACTCCCCTGGTATTTGGCCGTAAGGTTTCTAGAACAAAAATAAACTTGAGCAGCACCAGAGTGGAGGTAATTGACAGATGCCCTGACAAGTGGCTCATCTGTGTGACAGCAATCATAGCATCCCTCCCCACCATACAGCCAACTACTGAGACATTTTTTAAGCCAAGTCATAAAACCAACTTATCAAATACCTGTATCAAATATAACATGTGATATACAGCAAAATGAATTTTTAATTTGATATTTTACAGAGGACTTAACCACCAGGACTTAGGGATGGGAAAGCAGCAGACATCTCTTAAAAACATGCTCCCTTAATCTGTTGACTTTCTTTAGAATAGTTAGCAGGACATTTTCTTTCTAGCATGGGTTAGAAGTCTTGAAAGGAGCTCTGTTCCTAATAGTACAGTTTGGCACGTAATTTTGGTTCAGGGTACTTGGAAAATTAGTATCTACTTGAAGACATTCCAGGAAAATTA